TATCTATCTATCTATCTATCTATCTATCTATCTATCTATCTATCTATCTATCTATCTATCTATCTATCTATCTATCTATCTATCTATCATCTAGTCTATCTTTCTGTCCACCATCCATCTAGATAGTCATACAGATAGTCATACAGATATGTACACATATACTGTAGATATAAAATTAAGGCAAATCTTTTCCATTTATTTTAATTGCTCACATTATGATTATTACTGGGACTTTGATCTTTAATATACTATAATACTGTTATTCTCTCTGTTTTTTTCATTAATTACATTCTGTAGCATTTTGTATCTTTTTTTTTGACTTTTTGATTTGTGTCCTGCCTTGCTAGTGTCTTTTTATTTTATAAGGGTGAAATGATTTATATGACAAAGACATGAAGGTGGGGTATTAAAGCTAATATCTGGATTAAACAGTAATAATGATGGAGACAGCGACTGTGCCTGTAGGTGTCTCTCAGTAAAATAGGAAATTGTGAAGGTTGGTAGGTGTTGTGGAGGAGGGGCTGAGGATGCTGTGGGGGTGATAAGGAGACTGATGAAACAGGATGGTTGAAGAAAAGCAAAATATGTGCAAGTACTGAGCCTGTTTCCTTGCTTCAGATTTGATCTTCTCATTCAAACTGACAGGTGTACAGACAATCACATGTCCAGCTTTGAGGATGTGATAATATATAGCCTTATGTATAAAAACAAGCATAAACATAAAATTTTTTTTTACACAAATAGGCTAAATTAGATAAATTAAAAGCTTTTAAATTTATTAATAAATCTTACAAACCATTTACCCTTGATGTTTTTTCCTTTGGCTGTTTTGCCCATTAAAAGTCTTCATTAGAACATTGCTAAAATGTGTTGTCAATCAGGAAGTAACTCAAATGACGGACACATGGAAAAGCTGCTTATAATGTCCCCATCCCCACCCCTCCCCTTTCCGTGTAAAAGCCGACCAGGCCAGATCAAATTAAGTGGTTTGATACTTTCCCTGCCAATCCGATTAGGCCGATTAATTCCCAAAAGTGTTCAAATGATTAAAGCTGGTTAATGGGCCTGGGGAAGGTTCATGGTATCAGAGTTGGCTGCAGTATCCTACAGTGTCAGAGAAAAAAAATCAATATAAAAAGGTAACTGTAGAAATGTGCCTTCGTCTGACTTTGCTTTTAGTTAATAGAGTCGTAACATGCTTGTATGGATAAACCTATGAGTGTTTTTAATTTCCTTAAATCACGAAGCTTTAAGGAAATCACGGATGATAAATAGTGCATCTGCTCTGTGGTGACATGACGCCTAAATATAGAGTAGAAAATAGAGCAGAAGAAAGGGACACTGGGTAAGCCATAAATATTCACAGACCATCCTTAGTAATACTGAAAGAAATCAGGTTTTATGAATTATTTGATGTGAGTTTAATAGGGTAATAATAAACCCTAGGAAGGTATCACATTGATGGATCATGTTGATGTTTTAAACAAGTTTAAAGAAAAGAGAATTCTGCATAATTTTTACCAAAAAAGATATATGAGAAAGAGACAATTGGATTGAGAAGGTAAATAGTTGCAGGTTCCCTTCCAGCCTCCACGCTTTCAAACCATCACTCTGTCTTCTAATACACTCATCTCCGCAGGGAGCAGTATCCATCACAGGAGACGGCTGGGATGTTATGCTGCACAGTTGTGTGTATGTGTACACAAGGTGACTCAGGGAGCGACACAACTTGTGTGTGCCCTGTCTTATAAATGCAGCCCCATGTTTCCCCCATAAAGTGTCCATCAGCACCTTAATGCATTGCCCAGTGAATGTGACACAGCCTGGGCTTCCACATTATTAACTCTGGGTGTTTTTATGAGCCTGTGGATTGTGGAAGTCTTTTTCAAGAAGACATGTGTTATGTGTGTTCAATCGCTCTTTTAGTTTCTTTGGCATGTAGCATCAGAACCTTTTTAACCATTTCATATTATGAATCTAAACTGTAGACCATATGGCATTTAGGGAAAACAAAAACCATGGGGGAAAGAGGTCAGATAAAAAAAAATAATAAAAAAAATACCTTTCAGCCTTCCATGCCAGCACAAAATCTATGCTGATATATTTGTATTTTGAACACCACAACATCCTAACTATGAAACATGGCTAGGCAGTATTGTGCTGTGTGTTTATATAGCCCCAATTCACAACTTATGTCATCTCAAGCAATTTACAGAGAAAATTAAACCAGATCATTTAGTAAGATTGGTTAGTTTTATATCTAAGGAAAACCAGCTGATCGAATCAACTCATTGACTCTTCAGCAATCCCTCACACCAAGAATGCTTGTAGCGACAGTGGAGAGGAAATACTAACTTTTAACAGGAGGAAACCTCCAGAAGAACGAGGCTCAATGTGAGCAGCCATGCACCAAGGCCGGCTGGGGTTCAAGAAGGGAAGCCGACATAACGAAAGAAGCAGAGATACAAAAGGTAACTGTTAACTAGCTCCAGAGGCAGCCCCATCCAGGAAACACACAGCCAGGCAGACGAGCTCCGAGCCTGCTCCCATGTCAGAGGTTGAAAGGGAACACACATAATGAGTCACAGTTAGAGAAAAGGGACTACACTGAAAAACAGGCCAAGCTCCAACAGCTCCAACATGCCATAAACAAAAGTGTTGATGGCAGCAGCACAGCTGATGTTTACCTCAAGGATGGTGTCACAGCCTAACAGGAACAGACCAGATGGGAAAAGTAGGGAAAACATAAAATTAGGAGTTTACCAAACAAATACTGAAGAATGGGAAATTAGAAATAGAATTAAACAGAATGAAAAGTGGCCCCTATGTCCTCCAGCAGCCTAAAACTATAACAGCATAACTATAGAGATAACTCATGACCTGACCCATTCTAAATATGGGCAATTTGGCCAAAACCGGTGATTTAATCAATGACAGGTATAAATTACTATATCATACACTGCCTGGCCAAAAAAAAAAGTTGCCACCAAAATAAAAGGTTACTCACTCTAACACTTTGTTGGACCGCCTTTAGCTTTGATTACGGCACGCATTCGCTGTGTTTTGATAAGCTTCTGCAATGTCAAAAGATTTATTTCCATCCAGTGTTGCATTAATTTTTCACCAAGATCTTGCATTGATGATGGTAGAGTCTGACCGCTGTGCAAAGCCCTCTCTAGCACATGCCAAAGATTCTCAATGGGGTTGAGGTCTGGACTCTGTGGTGGCCAATCCATGTGTGAAAATGATGTGTCATGCTCCCTGAACCAGTCTTTCACAATTTGAGCCCGATGAATCCTGGCATTGTCATCTTGGAATATGCCTGTGCCATCAGGGAAGAAAAAGTTCTTTGATTGAATAACCTGGTCATTCAGTATAATCAGGTAGTCAGTTGACCTCATTCTTTGAGCACATACTGTTGCTGAACCTAGACCTGATCAACTGCAGCAATGCCAGATCATAACATCACCGCCACAGGCTTGTACAGTAGGCACTAGGCATGGTGGGTGCCTCACTTCACCTGCCTCTCTTCTTACCCTGATCCGCCCATCACTCTGGAACAGGGTAAATCTGGATTCATCAGACAACATGACCTTCTTCCATTGCTCCACAGTCCAATCTTTATGCTTCCTAGCAAATTGAAGCCTTTTTTTTCCAGTTAGCCTCACTGATTAGTGGTTTTCTTATAGCTACACAGCCGTTCAGTCCCAATCCCTTAAGTTCCCTTCGCATTGTGGATTTGGAAATGCTCTTACTTACAGTATTAAACATAGCCCTGAGTTCTACTGTTGTTTTTCTTCGATTTGATCTCACCACACGTTTAAATGATCGCCGATCACGATCATTCAGGATTTTTTTCCGGCCACATTTCTTCCAGTTTTTAATAATGCATTGGACAGTTCTTAACCCAATTTTAGTAGTTTCTACAATCTCTTTACTGTAGATGTTTTCTCTGCTTGATGCATGCCAATGATTTGACCCTTCTCAAACAGACTAACATCTTTTCCACGACCACGGGATGTGTCTTTCGACATGGTTGTTTAGGAAATGAGAAGCAAGTCATTGCACCAGTTGGGGTTAAATAACTTGTTACCAGCTGAAAGATAATCGCCCATGCAGTATTTATCCCATAAGAGGCTCATACCTATTTGCTTAGTTGAATTCACATGGCAACTTTTTTTTTGGGCCAGGCAGTGTACTTTCTCAATGCAAAGGCTCTAACCTTTAATGGACCTTATGTAAGGGATTATGTGTTAGGTAAACAATGTTCTAGGGATAGATTGCTGTAAGTCATAAGTTAACATCTATAGTGTCAGGTTCATGAGAATGCACAGATTTTCAAACATTAGTCAAACCAAGAGAGGCGTTTATTCTAATAATGTTTTCATTTTGAGCTATATATGGAATCAGCTTGAATGCAGTTCTTCATGTAAAGAGAGAGATGGATGCATAGGAGTGAGGGAGCATTTTGTTGTTTGGCTCTTTCACAACGTGGGCGTTCTCAGCTGGGGATGAATAACACTCAAGCAGATTGTGAAAGAAATCAGCCCAAGAGGCTCATATGACATAAAACAGGTATAAGTAGCTTTCTCAGGAGCCAATAAAGGACAGCTTGTGCAACCGGAACCATTAGACGCGGGAGTGCGTAAAAATACCTCAGCCGGTAGACTAACTGTGTGAACTCAGGGAGATATGCACAAGCAACCAAGTTCGGAGACGTGAAGTCGACAGTAGATTTTACAGCGCACCGCCCACAACCACTAACTCCGCTGGAGTCGGAGCTGCCTTCGTCGGAGTTGTTTGGCGCTCAGAGAGATAGACTGTGCGTAAAATCAACCAGCCAGACGCAGCAGCGCCAGTAGTGCCATGACATGCAGGATTCAGCGCGCCAAGTCCGAGAAATTTTACCATTTTACCCACACGGATATCTTGCACTGCAATGGTATTTTTTTCTCCAAACTGAGCGGAATCTGAGGTAGAGGATGGTCGGTTGGTCAATGCCTCTCTGTCAGCTCAGCTGCGCTGAGGAACAATGCTGAGCAAATCTCCTGTTGGTAAGTTATCTGTATAATCCACCTTGTTTTGTGCGCAAACAGGATCCATATTCTTTTATGTCTATTTAGTGATCACAGAATTATGATTCTGATTTGAAAAATCACCTGCGCTCATTGTTTTGCGCATTTAGTTTATCACTTTTAAGTGAAGCTACGTATCTCAAAATTGGAAAAAAAAAATCCTGTTTGGATACAATTAGACACGATGAAGTAGAAACTGCTGCGGTCTAATATAACAGAGATTATTATTAACCCTGGAGTGTGAGCCCTCACTCAAGTGCACTTATTCTTGGATGTGTGTTGTGGCTTTTCTTGTCTAATGTAGTGTGTAATGGAATTCCTTGTTATCTGGTGTTGAGCTCATCCTTGGAGGCATGTGAGGATGGACACTTTGTTGTATTGAGTCTCATTATTGTGTGTGTGGGGTATGTGTGTGCATGTAGGCTCAGATTCAGTCCATATTAGTCAGGCATCTCCACAGCAAACAGCTGTGAAATCAAGCTTGGCTGCCTGAGTTTTGGCTCTCTTGAGGTCAGAGGTTTTAAAGGTCTGCTGCACATCGGTAGGTCATCTCCGCCTCTGAATGTCTGTCTCATAAATCATGCCCTGTACAGTTTTTCTTCTTTCTTGTCATCTGGTAGAGCTTGTTTCTTGGTTAATATTAATTCAGTGCTACTGCCTCACTGGATGTGATTTAATTGTATTATCAATTAAATCATGAGAGATGGATTTGCTAGATTTAGGACTATCAGACTTGATGGCGTTGGGTTTGAAACACAAAACAGCCCATTTATTTACTCAAATCAGGAAATGCTTTTGATTGCACATATTCTTTTTACTCTTTTGCTTTTTTAATCAAAGGAATAGTTCTGGATTTATGAAGTAATTCTCTTTAAGTAGTCCTGCAGTGAACATAAGACAGGATTGGATTTCAGGTATTATGATGAGATTTGAAAGCATGTTCTAACTTCAAAAAGGCAAGAAAATATCCCATTTTCTGGTTTCTCTAACTGAATACAGGTTTTTAGGTGCTTCAACGATTCCCTGTTTCCCTGTGATAGATTAGCCACCTGTTCAGGCTGCACCCTAGAAGCAGCACCCCTGTGACATTGCATAAATAAAGCAGTTTAAAAGATGGATGAATTCAAATAGATGAAAAGTAAAATACATTTTATGGCTCTAAATCGTTAAATTTAGAGACAATAGAGTATAGTCCAGGGTTATGTTAAAAACTAAAATTATACTCTTCTTATAGGAAGCTCTGAAGCATCTTTAATTTCATTTGAGCAAAAAAAAATGCCTTGAATTTTTTTTATTGTATCCATTATCATTTATTTTTTACTTCGATGCACACATGTAAAAGCAGTGGAATTAGGAAATTCTTCTTAGATAAAGCATAAAAGCAATTGAAGAATTCCTTCCTTTGTTTTGATGTCTTCTGTAGTCTAATGGCTTGACTATTGGAGACAACCAAACCTCCAAAAACCTCACAGAGATGTCTGCTAATGTTATGCAGTAAGAACATGTCATCATCCCGTCTGCAGTGGATGTGAATGATAATCATCTGTAATGGAACAATGCAAAATATTTCCACTCAAAGTAACTGTCTGATATAAAAGTTAAGCGATGCAACAAACATAAATGTGTTGCTAACTGATCAGGTTTCTGCTCTGACCATATAAACTTTTAATGTTCATCTTTTGGTGCATGTTTAAAAACCCAGTAAAGGATTAATTAATGATTGGAAGTCCTCATTAATTTCACTAATCAAATAACTCCAAGAGAAACAAAAGCATAATCGCAGATGTCTGAGGTTGTTCATGTGGCTCTCTTAGAAAGTACAAATCTTTGTCTGAAAGCAGTATTCAAAAACAGGAAAATGTCATATATCTAAATCTGGAAAACTTTGGATAGACAAAGAAAGAGCAAAAGGAATGATTAGATACTGTATGAGCCACCATTTCAGTATGTTGCTATATAACTATCCCTATAACGCTATTTCAATCTGAGAAACTCACACGAAAAGACAATTATGAGAAATTTATTGATACAATTACTTTGTCTTTGGCGCTCAGACCTCGGCAGGAAACATAGCACTTCATTTTGATAGATATGAATGAACAAGAACAAAGAATGGGGCTGTTTCCCCCCCAGGCCTGAAACTGGTGGTGGAGTGGAGATAGATGAAGTTGGTCAGTCTGTAGACTGCTATTGGTGCTTCTAATCCAGCTTGGTTATATTTTTGTTATCAAACAAAAGGTATAATTAAAAGCAGCAGGTCCTTTTTTAGATCTCAGGAAATATATACCTGAAAGTGTAAAAGGCGAACTGTCATTTCTTTTTTTCTCACTGCATTTTACTGTCATTACACTGTCACAAGTAAAGCACAACAAAATTCCCTCTCTGCATTTAACCTATCCCCTTGGGGAGCAGTGGGCAGCCATTTTCGGTGCCCGGGGAGCAGTGTGGGGTTAAGAGTCTTTGCTCAGGGAGCCAAGGTGGCCATCTGTCAGAGTGGGTTTCGAACTCGCAACCTCAGGATTCTAAGCTCTATGCCCTAACCACTAGAACACCCCTCCCCACTAATGAACTAGTCAGCGACACAGGAGCACAACAAGTGACGGTTCTTCCACCATTCCTTTTTACTTTGCACATCTCTGACTTCCAGGAGAAGACAGAGTCGTCTACAGTTGTTGCTCAGGTCATAGATGGACAACTGCTGGCAAACTGCTTTGTGATATACTGTGGAAATAATCTGATCCTGAGTGACAAAAAAAAAAGATAATAGATTTTAGAAGAAACAGTAACAAGTCAAATCCTATCATGGGAGAAGAAGTGGAGGTATTGATGAGTATTCACCAGGACAACAAACTGGACTGGAGATGCAAATGAAGCCGTCTACAAGAAGGGACAGAGCCGAGTCATCTACTTCTTACTTCTTAAGGAAGTTTAGCTCATTCAGTGATTGCAGCAAGATGCTGCATACAGTATATTCTATAATCTGTTGTGAAGAGTTTGATCTCTTCTCCCATCATCTGCTGGGGTAACAGCATCAGAGCAGAGATTTGACAAAGCTTAACAATCTAATAAAGAATGCCGGCTCTGTTTTAGGAACTCCACTAGAACCTGTTTAGATTATTTCACAAAGAATGATTTTAAATAAAATAAGATTATTTTAGACAGCACTGGGCATATTCTTCAAAAGACTGTTAAACAAAAACAGACTGTCTTCAGTCAAAGGCTTCTCCACTTCCTCTGCAAGACAGACAGCTACAGGAGATCCTTCCTGCCTACAGCTATGAAAATCTACCTGTTAAAAAAAAATAGACGTTACCATAGCATCCCGTTTGAATATTGAATATTTTAAAACATCACTGATGTTATTTTAAAGTGCAAAGTAATATCACACCATGCTAGAAATTGTGCAAATAATGGCAAGGTCTGATAAGCTCGTCTTTATTATCAGAACAATGTGACAGAATTGGTTTACTGATGATAAAGGTTGACATATTATAGGCAGAGATTATTTTATTTTTAGATTACACTGCATTAGTGGTCTTATTTACAGTTAGTCTGAAAAAAGCGGTCCAATAAAGGCATGGGCTGAATTTATTTACAGATATATTAGTCTTTTATGAAAATCACTGTTGTCTTTATACAGTTTTTGTCTTAAATAAAACATTTGTTTTCCCTGTCATTGAAGCCCTTTTTTTCTGCATCAGACTTGTACTGTCGTACCTTATGTTTGCCCTTCTTCAGTATTATCCAGAGTATTTTTCACTCTGACTTCTATATTTTTCAACTAACCTTTTTATTAAACCAATGATGATTTTCTCAGACATCTGGAAGGAAAAAGGTTATGCCTCTTCAACTGAAAGATTACCGGTGGCTCACTGCCTCCTACCTCAATTTCTCATAAAAAACAAAACTCAGCTTCTGTGTAATTAACCTCCTACTGAAAACGAGACCATGGTTTAAAAGATTTAAAAACTAGAATTTATATACGCTGCTATGAGATATCAGGAACTTTAGTTGTTTTAAGATGGCTGAAGTCATCTTTAGTCTTCTTACTGTAGACTAGCTGTAAGCCCCTAAAACAATAATGGCTGTCTATACATCTCTATCAGAACTTCACTTAAAATCCTAAACAATCAATTTAACTTGTCTTTCTCATTCAACCTCTGGATGTGTGAGAGCATTAGAAAAACAAAACAATCAGTATACAGTACCAATCATTTTCTGACAGCAGGACCTGCTTTGTTTTCCTAAGGTTTCAGTATAGCCAATGTTAACACCTTTGAGGGATGTTTTTTCATGTTTGTATGAACTATGGAACTGTGTAAGTGATGCAACAGTAGAACATGCAGCAGATGGTGATTTCATGCCTCAGTCTGCTGAAAGCTTGTGAGAGGAACGCCTGTTGCCAATGTAAATGAAACACTTCCTGCAATGAACTACTAGAAATATACCCAAACCCGAAAGCTTTGTTTTCAGATTTAGCTAAACTCCAAAGCAATGCCTAATTTAAGAGGAATGTGCCACAGTGTTTTGGGGTTACTTTTGTTTTAATGTTGGTGAATAAATTTGTTTAATTATTTTTTTTCTATTTGCAGCCACCAGACTGACGGAAATTCATTGGAGCTCCACATTTTAATCCAGTCCATAAGTCATGGAGAGCCTGAGCGAGCTTCAAAACCCCCTACTTGACAAAGCCACAAGACATGAGCTCCAGAATGACTACCAGGGGTATCAGTGTGACTACTCAAACCAGCCATACCAGGACAGCCTAATTGATTACTACTACACTGGAACCAGCAGCAAGCACAAGCCCCCCCAGTTCCTGGATGCAACCTCTCTCCATCTAGCTGTGGAGGCTTTTTACAGACCCAACTTCATCCTGTTCAAGGACAACGTCAGCCTCCACAGCAAGGACTCTAAGAATGAGAGCTTTGAGACCACTTTCACCGAGTGTAAAGACACTGTTTCATTTGGAGTTCCGTCAGAAAACACAGTGGACATCAGTGTGCAGGGAGAGAAGGACCTTAAGATCCAGACGGTGTCATACGAGGTGGAGGAGGAGCAGTGTCCTGAGTATGAGGTTTGGGATCACACAAAAAAACAAATCATCTTTATTTAGCAGGCGTGGCAGTAGTCTTTGCTCCAGTAACAGGATACAGTTTTATTCAGTTATGCTTTATGTATTTACTACAATATAACATCTAAACTGATATAAAAGCACAAAGAACGAAAACATCTAAAGACATTCAAGGAATAGCCAGGAAAGGAAGCAATAGAAACACACCATCAGTAAAAATTTATATAAAGCCAAAAATAGCTACATGGATAAAAAGACCCAGTGGCTGCAGCTCAGCATTTCATTTATACCAGCCTGACTTAAGTGGTAGGCTATGTTCACCCAAAAGAGGAGGTTTTAATTTCTGTTTTAAAAATTAAGATGGTGTCTACCTTTAAAGTCTATACTGAAGGTAGTTCCTCAGAGAGACTCCTGATAAGCAAAGCCATTATCTAAAGTTCTGTCTCTAGAGCTAAACATTTGAAAGGGGAATTTTCTTATTACTCTTTTCAAATACTTATAGATGTTTTTTTCATACATGAGAGGTTGAGATCTTAAGTGCTAATTGCCATCTTAACATTCTCTCACATGAAATAAATTGAGCTAATAAAGAAACACAACCTTTGAATCCTAACTTGAGACATTTCGTTGTAAAGGTATTTATAACCCTTGGATCTTTTACATTTTGTTCCTAATGCTACCACAAACTTAAATTTTTTTAATGGGAATTTTATGCAATTAATCATCATAGAGTAGTGGATAATAGTGAAGTCAAATACTAGGCATTCATCCATTGTTTATGCTCACTTGTTCAAATAGGTTTGTGGTGTATCTGGTGAGCATTAGGCAGTTTACATGCTAGAGGCTGTTCCATAGATTACCACAGGGGAACACACAGACATACAGGATAAACAACCATGTACAGACACACTTACACCTTAACCATTTTATAGAGACCAAGTATCAAACCATGTTTTTGGACTGTGAGGAAAGCCAAAGCACCTTAAAGGAACCCATGCATGCATTAACAGAACAGGCACAGATTTTGAACCCAGGACCTGCTTGTTGTAAGGGATTAATTCTTCACCAACGTGCAGCCTACAGTATAAAATCAACTTTTATTTTAGTCACAGCAAGAGGTCTGGAACTTTCTTTTCCAGCATTGCTTTTATAAGGACAGACATTTATTGGCAAAGCTTAAATATAGCTCAAGTTCATCAGGTTGGAGAGAAATCGTCTGTGAACATGAATTAGATCAAACCACTATCAAACTCCAATCTATGAAGCCCACTGTCCTCTTAATGAGCTGAGGCATATTGAAAAGAGCATGACTGCATGAGGAGATAATTCAGTGATTTTATTTATCACACTCCAATGGCATATTTAGGGTCATTGTCTCCAGAGGGGGTCAAAATGTGCCCTAGTATCAAGTCTTGCTGCAGCAAAAAAGTTTTCTTCCAGCATTTCTGGAGTTTATATTTACCTATATAGCCATCAGCTCTGATCTAATTCCCTGTTTTTTCTGTGAAAACCATTCCCACCGGATAATGTGTCCGAGTGGGAATGGTGTGGGTCCAGGATGAAGTAGCATTTGGTTTCTGCCACACAAATATTGTGTGTTTTTCAATGTTTAAAAGACTGCTTTTGATAAGTTTCTGAATAAAACTAAAGATTATTTTACATTTAGTATTGAGTTTAATAATGTAAAAGAAAATGTACAATAGTATCATGTAATATTATTATAATTTCTCTGAAGAAGGTTTACTTACTTAGGCTCCTGAAATTTTCATGCAGCATATTAGTCTTCTTTTGTTTTATTAATTTCCAAGAAAATTGCCTTGCTGACCTAATTAGTCCTGACCCTTTTAGTGTGTGGAGCAAAACTCCCTTAAAATGAGAGAAAAAGAAAAGCAGCTAAAGTCTTTTCAGAAGTGTAGAAAAACTAATTTTAAGCAAGGACGCTTATAAAATACCCAGGGCTCTGAGCTGGCAGAGGAAGAAGTATAGCACCCTAACTGAGCTGATGATCGCGCCAGCTCCTGTCACTCGGAGGCCTGGCAGATGGATAGGGACACTGAAGCAAGCTCCATTAATGCTGAAACTAATGTCCTGCTTTGAGGGAATTAGGCTCGACTCGACTGATGCATGACCCTTGTAGCAGGTAAGCCTTGAGCCAAAGTTTCAGTTCAAATAAACACAAATAAATCTGATGAATAGAGCTTTGATTTAAAAAACAAAAAACAAACTAAGAACAAACGTGGCTTTCTAGCTCCAATGTAAGTATGTCAGGCTCAGAACAAAAGGACACAAGTATTTAAGGTGGAAATGTCATGATGGGTTTTCTAAAGTTAAGCCCAAGATGCAGAACACTCACAGAGACACTGGTAAAAGTCCAAAGAGCTTATTTAATGACATAAGCACATGGATAATAACTGAAACAGTTCAGGCAGGGGACTGGTTCACTGGGGTCTGTACGGGGAACGGGAGATGGCTGGTAGCTGAGTTCATGTGAAGCTAAGCATTTAGCTTTAGGCTTAGCCTGGCAGTCCTGGGTTTGAGCTTCCAGCTCACAGCAGAGAACATCAGAGGAAAACACAAAGGATTACTCAGGCTGAGCTTCCAGCTCTTAGCAGGGAACAACAAGGGAAAATCCACGTGGGAACCTCTAGGGAAACTCCACACAGAAGTCTTCAGGCTTCATCCACGTAGGAATCTTCGGGTTGGCTCACCAGGGCAGATTAGCTGGTTAGACTCTCCTAGAGCTTCTGGCTTGAGACTAGTTTCCTGTGATGCAGCTCTCCCAGAGCTGCAGGCCAGAGACAGATTGCCAGAGGGACTGCTCTTCCAGAGCTTCACGAGGAGACAGGTTAAGCTCATCCAGAGCTTCACGAGGAGACAGGTTAAGCTCATCCAGAGCTTCACAAGGAGACAGGATTCCTGTGAGGCAGAAACAAGGAAGAGTTAGAATCTGATCTCACTCTAGAGATAACCAAGATTCTTCTGTCACAGAGGCTCAGGACGCTAACCAACAAAGATCAACACTGCGGCGTGGAATCAAGGTCAGGCAGGAGCTTATAAAGGAGAGGTCTTCTGATGAGAGGATTAGGAACAGGTGTGCAGGAAGGTTCCAGCTCCAGAAGACCCACGGCGCACTCTGCTGGAAACAGAGGGTAGTCTCCAGATCCCCACAGTAACTCAACCCTAAGGGAAAAACACAGAGCAGAAGAGGATCCTCGGCGCCCTCTGGAGGGCAAGCCTGAGGATCCTAACAGGAAAGACTGTCTGAAAGACGATTTTAATAAAATGTTTATTTATGATGGAACGGCAGAGTCTAAGTCAGGATCCCCTGCAGAGGGAGAACACACGTTAGTGACCACGTCTATCTGGCGGAGGATGATAATGAGTCACTAACCTGGTCTTATAGTTGAGTCTGTGGTCTGTTGGTTCGAGCCAGTCGGCTGCCAATAAGACGCGGCAGGCACTGCCAAGAGAGTCCCAGACACTGAAGTCCCAGAGGTTGGAGAACAGGCAGGAGATCAGAACCGAGCAGACAAAACAAGGCAGGATAATCCAGAAGGTGAAGCCAGGCCGGTGTCAAGGACATGGCTGCGGGTCAGAGCCAGGAGATCAGAGGTCCGAAGAGGTACTGAAGGGAAATCCAGGACGGTGTCGGGAATCAGTTCCAGGTTCGGTACACAGACAGGCAGAAATTCAGCAGGAGTCCGAGGACAGGTCAGGCAAACAGATTAGAGCGGGAACAAGCAGGCTCACAGGTCCAGAGGCAGAATGGGTCAGGATCAGACAATCAGGACCCAATCAGGTACGCTAGAGAACTCTCACCAAAGGCTTGAATAACCTGGAACTTATAACTGGTTAGAAGGCTGGGGAAATAGAGGCTGAAGCAGGTGGATAAGATGAAAGGTAATGAGTACTGGGCGGAGCTAGGAAAGTGAATGAAATGAATAATCAGACCAGACATTAGCGCCAAGATCATGACACAAGTACTTGTTTCATTCACTTTTCAACACTCCTCTTTGAGTTATACAAAATAGGTGGAGGTCTAAAGCTTATGGATATCAAAATAAGAATAAAAAAAAGAAATGAAAAGCAATACAAGAAATTAAAAATTTACCAGGAAATTAAACTATTTTCTGCAACAAAATGGAAAATATAGCTAAACACACAGATGTTTGATATGAGTTTGACAGGAGAAAAATAATGGCAAAATCCCATGCTGCCCTCAGTCAACAGGGTGGCATCTGTGTTGAGGCGACTGTCCCCTCCTGAGGCCAACAAGGCATTGGAGAGAACCGTGACAGGGTTTGTTAAAGGTTCAATGTCTCAGTGGAGCCCCCATCAGTTATACAGACAGACAGGTCCAGGGAGAGCAGCAAAGCCAGCCAACAGGAGCTGGACTCAAAGAGACTGTCTGGAGGACTGAATGCATTAGTCTCTATGTACTGTTATCAGGTGTTCGCCACAGAGATAACAAAGGATTACACGTGTTTGTAGATTATTTTTATGCAGTGGTGACCAGCTGTTTGGTTCATGTGGGCTGAGTTCATAAGACAGATAACAGGGAACCTTTCCTTGGCAAAGCTTGCCATTTCTAAACTGCTTGTAAAAGTGTTCAAATCTCCTGTTTCCCCAAACCATATAAATACAGGTACATTCTAGTTATGAGAAATTGACAAATACAATTTTTTTGTCCTAAATCTGTTTATTGTCTTACAGCTAATGAAAATTCATTATGTGAAACCAAAAGAGTATTTCTACACAGAGCAAATTTGACCACTGAAGCTATTTGAATACCTCAGCAAGCAATGCACATAATCAAAGTTTTCTGAGGTCCAGTATGAAGGTTTGCAGTTAGTGATTATTTTGGGGCAATCTACAGCACGTTGTAATAAAATTAAAATACCATTTTCCTGCCAAAATGATAAATAATAACAACTGTTGCAGTAAGCAAATCTCAGTAATTGTAGGCTACCATCAAGAAGAATAGACAAGCTTAGGGAAACTCAAACCAACCTACTATGCAATTAAACCACAAACTCATAGCCTGCATCTGGAGTCCCTTCCAAGAAATTGGTTCCTATGCTAAGCAATGGACTTGCATTAAAGTAGGCCAACATCTCTTTTTGAAATAAACTTATTTAATTTATCCTGTAATTTTTCTGATATTTCAAGAATCTTTTTGTCCTTTCCCTTAATTTTCTACCCTATATATATACTTTGGTTAAAAAAAAAGAAAAAAAGAACAGCTTCTTTAGAGATGAAATTTCTTAACTTGTCCTCCTTATGCTTACTGGTTGTTCAAATTATCAGTCTTTTTCACACTTGTGTAGGCCATGATGTGAGTGACTGTAACAACATGGTTCTGAATTATGTTTAAATCAATTGATCCTTTGAAATTGCCTGAGCCACTGAATTTTGATCTTTGACTAACAAAATCAATCATTTGCCTTTGCATCATTGTGTGTGAAAAAAAACTAAATTGATATAAGTTTAAATATTAAACTTTTAATGTATTGAAAAGTACCTCTAATGATTTTTGCCAAATTAGTTGAAAGTATTTAATTGTGCTGTTTGTTTAGTTCAGAGGATAGAAGAGAAAATTGACACACAACAAGGATAACTTTGCATGCTTCAATGTCTCCTCACTTCTTTCTTCCCAGACTTAATTACCTGTAAAACGCTTGCTTCAGGTCCTGCCTTTTGCATTGATTTTTTTTTCCCACTCTCCTTTTTTTGTCCGTTTCTTCGATCCTTGAAGGCAGCAGCACGCCTCACAAATGAAACCTGCTCCTTATGGAGGCTATTTATTCAGAGAAACCTCCTCTAAGTCTCTGGGACAGCAGTGAAAAGTATAGCCTCCCCCTCTTAAAGGTCACTCAGACTATCACACTGCTATTGTTGCTGTAGGCCCGATGGGTACATGTAAGTCAGAGCAGCATTTAAATCCTCCATTCATTAGGCTGCAGAGCCTGTGGCTTTGAATTTTAGCATTAAGGGACAGTATATGCAGCCTGCTGAACACTCTCTGCCCTGTAAGACGCTTTGCACATTAAGGAAGGATTGTGAAGCTCTCTCAGGCTGGAAAAGCAATTTAGTACATAAATGACACTGTCTTCTCACTGTGTCTTGTGTCACCTCATGATGATGGAACAATCCGTTAATCCTGAGTTATCTGTCACCCTGTTCATGGGTGTTGACAGAGGCACCAAATTGGTTCCAGCCGACTGAATACGTCCTGTCCTAGGTGGTTTTGGAAAACAAGGGCAGAGACCCTGTCCGGAGAAGAAAGGGAAGGAGCAGGAAACATAGAAATGGGATGATGTGTCTTGTTAAGATACAACACTTTGAAGAAGTTCAAAGAACATCTGACACTTGCATGTCACTCTAACTTATTCATACATTCTGTAGGTGTTTAGGTCAAAATCAAAGCCTCATTTTCTTTTTTTTCCACTTTAAAATACGCATTTTAAAGCATTCTAAAATCTTATTTCTGCTTTTATTGATCTCTGTAAATGTGCTGTTTTCCAGAGTGACAGCTCCAGTGACAGTGAAAGTGAGGACAACTTCATCGTGCTGCCCCCTCGGGACTACTTGGGCCTGGCCATCTTTTCCATGCTCTGCTGCTTCTGGCCACTGGGCATCATTGCCTTTTACTACTCTCACAAGGTAAAGGGCCCAGAGACCCCGAGCCTGTCATTAATTCTGATTGCACTGCGTTCTCTTTAAGGTCAGCAGGCACAAACGCTCAGACAAGTGTCTGCCGCAGCCCATTTTCCACCCTGTGACCCTGTTTGCAATTGTTTTCTATGACTGAGTACATAATTTCAAATAATGCACCAGGCATGCAAAAAAACATTAACAGTGAGGTCTTTTTATTGCCTATGAACGTGGTGAGAGAAATGGGTTTTGCGCATATTATTTTGAAGCTTTTATGTCATATTATTGAACATATTGTTCAATATCCGATATATATATATATATATATATATATATA